TACTTTTCAGAACACATAATAACCCACACAATATTCGAACAGACACATAATTACACACACACACACACACAACACTCACACCCACACAAACACAACACACACACACACACACACACACACACACACACACACACAGCACACACACACCATATACACACATACACAACAACAAACACAAACACACATACACACACACACACACACACACACACACCACAACGACACACAACATCGCAAAACACACACCACACACCCACACACACCCACATCGCACACCCACATACACACATACACACACACACACACACACACACACACACACACACACACACACACAACACCACACACACACATAACACACACACACAGTAGGGACAGCGCGTGCGCAGTCACGCCGTCGGTGCTCCGGGAATTTAAGTGATTTGAGGGCACCTAGTGTTCTGCAAGGTTGCTAAGTGTGTCAGGTAGACAACAATCCTAGAGTGTTTTTCTTTAATTGTGGCTGCCACATAAGTGTGGGGAGAGAGCCAAAATTTTTGTAAGTGATCTGGAAAATAAAACGTTGTGGCGCAGCTAGTGTGTAATGCGGCGTTGCCAATGGTCACCCCCCGAAAGGTAATAAAGTGAAACAATCGTGTGACAGTGAAGAAATACAGTGAATAGGGTACATTATTTAATGAAAGAAATTGAGTGGACCTACGCCAGGACGTACATCGAGCTGGATCTACCCAACGTCACATTGACACTGGACAATCTACAGTCGTACAGCTGCCTAACAAGTACTGTAACACCTATGAGTGTTGTTTGGGGTGTGGGTTCAGGTTCCATTTAAAACCGCCAAGCGGACGATGTGAATGGTCTAACTCTCATAGCACATAAAAATAGGCACCAAAGTATCAATAAGTTTAGGCAAATGGCAATCCATTTGAACAAGCGATAACTCACTATAAGCAGGCGATATAGGCAACACTGTAAGGTGTTGGAAGTCAGGTCACAAGAAGTTGTGGACACAAGCAACAACTGAGAATCTACTATACGCTCCAAGCACAAAGCCACCTCCTTTTCAGACACATAATAAACCCACACATAATTCGACACATAATTTCACTACACACACACACACACGCACACACACACACACACACACACACGCACACACACCACACACACACACACACATCACACCACACACACCACACACATATACACACATACACACGACAGACACAAACACACCACAAACACACCACACACACCACACAACACACACACACACACCACACACACACACACGCACAAACACACCCACACAACCCACACACACCCACACACACCCCACATACACAATACACACACACACATACACACACACACACACACTGTAAGTAACGCCGGTAGTCCCCAGGAGGTTGGGGGTCAGGTCACAGAAGGTGGCACCAAGGACACTGAACCTTACCTTAAAACGCACAAGCCACCTCCTTTCAGTACAATAATAAACCCACACATAAATCCACACACAACAACACACAAAATTACACAACACACACACACATCACATGATAACTGACATGATAACGACTTACAAAATACTGAGGAGGAATGACAAGGAGGACAAAGACAGGATGTTCCAAGACTGGACACAGTAAACGAAGGGGACACAGTTGGAAAGTTGAAGCCACAGATAATCAAAGGGATGTTTAGGAAGTATATCTTCAGCCACAGGAGTAGTCAGGAAGGGAATATTTAGGAAGCGATTATGGAGTTCAGGATTCCCATACATGAGCTTTAAGCAAGGTACGATAAAGCGTCATGTTCAGGGAGAAGTACCTAGTACGACCAGTGAAGGAGGAGGCGGGGCCATGAGCCTTGGACTCGACCCCCTGCAACCTCCACTAGAGTGAGTTACAACAAGATGATGTACACACACACACACATACACACATCAACCCCCCCCCCACACACACACAACATAGCCAGACACAACCATACACTCCCCCCCTCACCACCGGACATCTCAGTACTTTCCCCCCCCCCCTTGGAAAATTTTCCCTCCCCCCCTCGATCACCCTCCCCCCACGCCCTCCCCACTCAGCTCCAACATAGCCTCAGTTCCTCACTACTTTTTTCCCCCCCCCCCACACTCCGACATACACACTACTAACTAAACATACATGAAACTACATAGTTCCCACTCTAGGCAATCAGGATAAAACCGAAAATGGTTGCCAGAGAGGCAAAAAAAAAAAACCAAGGACAGAGGAGGAAAATGCAAAGGAAGATTGCAGCAAGATCATAAAAAGGGATCATGAATGGAAAAGAAACTAGAAAACTTAGCAATGAGAATGGAAGAGAGGATAGATATGGAAAGCAGGAAGTGGGAGGTGCATGTCAAAGCAGCAGAAGCTAGGATACAGAGTTTAGAAGAGGAATTGAAAAATCTGAAACAGCCTAAAGAACTAAAGAACATTTTGGGATTGACAACAGAGACTGCTACCTCAGCCACAAATAAGGGGACTGTAGGGAAAGAAGGGGCACAACTGCATGGAGATGCTCTATCAGAGGAGACTGTAGCAAATGAAAGAGCTAAGCTTTATGTGGAGGCCCTAACAGACAACAACAGAGCCCAAGGAAAGCCGAGAAGGGAAAATGACAGGCCACTGAGCCCAAGTACATTAGCCAGTGAAACTGATGAAAGGAAAGCTGCAGTGGAGGAAACCAAATTAAATGAGGGGATACACAGGGATATGCAGTGGGAGAATGAAAGGGTGAGGTCAGTCTTTGTGTATGGGCTCCAGGAAGTCGAAGGGGAAACATATGAAGCAAGAAAACAAGGGGAAAAAAAAGCAATTGAAAGCATCATGAAAGCAATAGGAGAAGACGATATGACCCAGCTGGAAAATTTTCGGAGAATAGGGGGGTTTGTAAAAAAAAGAACCCGGCCAGTGAGAGTGACCTTCAAGGCAGAAGCGACTCGGACCAGGATCCTGCAGGAGAAAGCACGATTAAGGGACATGACGGCATACAGGAAGGTGTATCTCGACCGCGACAGAACACAAGAAGAAAGGAAGAAACTGAGAGAGATGGTACAAAGGCGAAAGGAGGAAAGAGAGGGGATGGAGAAGACAGACAGGAGATCCCAGACCCAGGAAGAAGATCAAATACAGCCTCCCTCACAACTTCTATAGAAGCCTCCCAACCAGGTCAACCCCAGTGCAACCAAACACTCTAAATCAAAACACCCATGCCACATCCAATGCCCCCACCCACTACATTACAAACTTCACCCCCACAGCAACAACCCATAGTTTCCTTACCAGGTCTCCCACTTCCCCAACCCCAATATACTTCCCAGACCACAGTCTTAGAAAAGAAGTTGAAGGTGTGGTATACAAATGCAGATGGAATAACAAACAAGTATGAGGATTGGCACGAAAGAATCAAAGAGACATCCCCAGACATAATAGCACCACAGAAACAAAAATCACCAAATAATAACAGATTCAATCTTTCCATCCGTATCAAATCTTCAGGAAAGACAGAGGGAGGGAAAGGGGGGGGAGGAGTTGCACTGCTCATTAAAAACCAGTGGGTTTTGAGAAAATGGGAAAGGGAAAGGATTTGGGATGGGCGAAAGGGACTACTTAAATAGGAACAATCCATCTGAGGGACATAAGGTGATAATGCAGTAATGTACAACCCACCACAGAACTGCAGGAGGCCAAGAGAAGAAAACGAAGAGAGCAACAGAGCAATGATCAAAACACTAGCCGAGGTGCCAGGAGAGCACACAGGGGGGAGCAAAGTTTTCTAGTTATGGTGATTTCAATCACAAGGAGATTGACTGGGAAAACCTGGAGCCCCATGGGGGTCCCGAAACATTGGAGAGCCAAGATGATGGTGTGTACTGGGGAAAACCCCATGCATCAACAGTTTTAGAGACACCCACCCGAGAGAGAGGAAAAGGGTGAACCAGCAAAGGGTTTGGGCCTTGTATTCACCATGAGTAGTTCGGACATCGAGGGTATCATGTATGAAAGGCCCCTGGAGCTAGTGATCATGTGGTTCTGTGCTTCGACTACATAGTTGAGCTCCAAGTGGAGAGAGTAGCAGGGAAAAGGCTGGGGAAAAAACCCAAAAACAAAAGGGGGAACTACTCAGCATGAGGAACTTCCCTTTAAGACATTCATTGGGAGAGGGAACTGACAGGGGAAAAACCCGTACAAGAAATGATGGACTATGTAGCAACAAAATGCAAGGAGGCAGAGGGGAGGTTTGTTTCCAAGGGGAAAAAGAAATAATGGGAAGAACAGAACGATCCTTGGTTTTACCCAAAGGTGTAGGGAGGCAAAAACTAGGTGTAAATAGAGAATGGAAAAGGTACAGAAGACAAGAACCCGGAAAATAAAGA